CATGCAAATTATAAAGAAAATCTAATGACTAGATTTTCTGCAAATAAACAAAACCGATTTTAAAGGCCTGTTTATATTTATTCATATTGCCATGGCAATGGCACATACGTCAGCTTAACCATCAAAAAAACAAAGTTTGCATTGTTAACTAGCTTGCTGCCATTTTTGACGACTGAGGGATCAAGGGTTTCAGAGAAAAGGTGAATGAAACATAGGTATCAAAAACTGTGTTCAGCCACCTTAAGTTCTCCATCATGTTTTTCACGAATCAACAATTTTTGCTGTAATGAAACTTACCTTTCTTTGTCTACATCAGGTCGTGCCCTCTTCTGCAAAAAAGAATATTATTTTAACTTCTCTGCCAAAAAAACTAATTTTTCTTTTAATCATCTTTCCAGAGTGTGCTGAATTTGATTTATTCATTGCTTCTAAAAAAGGAAACTCTTGCAGTAAACTGGACCTACAGCAACTGCATGTCTGGTGTTTGGTTTTCAGATTACAATCAACTGTTCATTATAATATGAGCGGCAAACACAAAGGACATTTTCACTGTTTCAGTCTCCAGACTGATATTAGGAGGTTTGAGAAAACCACAACGGCAATGTCTCTAAATAAAAGATTTAACGAGCAATACAATAGCTGTGCATGTGTGAACCCAGACCCCTCAATCTGGAAATGAGCACACCAACCATGAGGCCACCATGCCTTCACAATGAGTCCTATGGCTTCTTTAAACTCTAACATCAGAACACAGTTCATTAATCCTGTTTAAACAGACAGTACATAACTTACTTTTTTGACAATAGCTGGGCTTCCTCCTCTCTCGTATCTCATCTGTAACACAAATTCATAAATGGTCACTTGTTATTACTACAATCTATTATATTTATATCTCTCAGACAGTATGCTCACTTGGTCAATTGATTGGCTATATTCTACGATTTGGCCAACTTTCTACATGCTTGACTTTAAATATTTTCATTCTCTGGAGTTAGAGATGCAATAAACATCTTATTACTCTCACTTTTGCAATCCATAGACCTGCACCAATTACATAAATGACACTGAATTCAAATAACATCGAGTTACAAACTCTTAGCTTCTCATCAATGCAAGGCAAAGGCTTTCTAACTTATTGTTATTCAAACATGGTGCCATTTATACAAGAATTATTGTAATTCTGTACTGTGACTTTTATTGGGAGAAAACTGGGAAAACAGAAGCATCCAAAGGCACATCTTAGGGCAAGAACATTGAACTTGACTGGTACAAGGTATACATTTCCAGTGACTTTCAAACTAGGATTTCTAAGTTCACTATGTTAACAAAAAAATACAAAAACAAATGGTTTATCTTCATGTCTACCCTGTCTGGAGGGAGCGTCTTGGAGTCCACCCTAAACAGAACTTTAGCCTGTAGAGTAAGCAATATTCAACTGATTAGGAAAGTAATGCGCAAGGGTAAGCTTACAGCCACAGAATGCACCGTCTGCCATTGTCCTCTTTGTGTACATTCTGTAGTCGTAAGCTTAACATACACTTAACTTTGCTGTCTTCAATGACATCTAACTAAGGTAAACTTATGAAAGTAATGACCCCCCTGAAAGTAGTGACCCCCCGAAAGTCAAAACATTGTGGCTGCTAATAAATCCCAAAAGTAGGGCCCCTGAAAGTAGCAGGCCCTCCGAAAGTAGTGAGCTGCGTCCCCAAAAATAGTGAGACCAAGGTTCAATAGTATAGTGGAACCCCATTAATACAGACACCAAAGGGACATGATAAAGTGTCCGCATTATCCAGGTGTCCGTATTAAGCAGGCTAATTTAAGTGAAAATGTATGAGCTTTTTACTTCTCAGGACAAAGAAAACTGTCCCTATTACGCAGGTGTCCATAGAGAGGGGTTTCATTGTATATTTCTCCTACTCAGGAGTCAGGTGAAAGGTACGTACGGTAACTTGATTCAAAGCACTCTACAACAAGGGAAGATATCACTTAATCAACAGCATCTTTGCTAGATATTTAGCATTTAACAAGCAGAAGTAAATTTGAAGCTTATGTTAGAGCTATTTTGCCTTAGAAACAGCACTGTTTCAGATTCTAAGGGTTTCTCATTTACAATGAACTTGGATAGATTGTAACCACAACAAACCAGACTTGAGTTAAACCTTGATAATGTAGAAAACTACTTTAGCAGTAACACAGTGACTATACCTCATCCAAACTTCGTCTGAGAACAGCTTTTATCTGCTCCTCAGAGACTGACTCACTTGTGTTGTCCTTGATGTTACGTGCTGCCATACGGAACATCTGGAGAAAAAAACATAAACATGGGTCTACAAGGGAACAACTACACTAAAACTTTTCCAGACTGTTTACTCAATCAGCAATTATAATAGCCATGTTTGCGGTTGACCACTTCCCTCATTTTCCTCAGAGGAAGTGTAAACCAGCAAAAAAAATACAGGCAATGTTTTTCTACTATATAGAAAACCACATGCAAACATTTAGGCACTTTTGATGGGAACAAAATTACAGTTACAAATTTTGCACATAGCATGTATTTTTTTTTTTTTTTTATCTTGGAACCCCTTCAATTTAACAGTAAATAGTACAAGGTGGTATTATTTCCTATTATTATCAAGTGTAAAACTTTAATGTCATTGTAAAAAAACTTGCAAACATCACCTTGGAGTCCAATTTACTGTGTAGGGTTAGATTTCACAAAAACTGCATCATGTTTACAGGCATGTGAAATGAAGACACTACATAACATTTCAGTTTTTAATTCCCTGACAAACATATCTCAGATAGATATAAACCTACCTACCCAGGTGCTAAAATGGGTACTAGGAAATTCACAAGGATAACCTGACCTTGGCTAAAGTTAAAATATTGGAATATAACCCGTAACAGACAAGCATTACTTACAGAAACTAGAGCACAAATCACGCACAAGTGAGTGATAATGTAGCTAAAATGGTCTGAATGACCACTTAATGTATATGTTGTAGTTTAAATTCATCTTTTGTTAATAAAGCTTGTTAACAGCAGTTTTATTTTTATTTTTATTTTTCTTAGTCTCATATTCACTAGCAATAATCAGAAAAAAAGGAAATATTAAACTGGTTTGAGGACAAATGTAAACCCCCCAAAAATTTCAACCATGTTAAAACAGGTACCTTGACATTAGTAGTTCATGCATTGAGCTCCGTAAACAGTTGTACATACACTGTTTTTAAATTAATTTCCTGGAATTAAACAGAAGTCACAGTAGACATTTCCTATATATACTCTTAAGATCTAAAAGCTATATGTAAACTAGGGGGAGAGTCATTAAATACCTCTTGGTAGCTCTTTAACATTGCTTCAATTTCTGCATTCAGGGAAGGTTGTAAGGCAGCTCTAACAAGTTCCAAAGCTTTGTTTGCACTTACTGTGCTTCCCCTAGAAAGAAACGGAAATATAGAAGACTTCATATGATATAACTACTTATATTAAATATGTCTTTATTAATCTGGAAGTAGTCAGAAAAGTGCTTTTATTGTACAGAAACTAAATTATAACTTCCTTGCTACCTAATTATCTACCTAATTATATATTATTGTCAAAAATTTACAAAACTCTACTTTTACAGAGAAATGCAGCTTTAAAAAGCAAAATGTTTTGTTGATTAGAAAAAAATTACCTTGTTCGATTATATGAAGCAACAGAGGCATGCATTCGGCTTCTGCAAAAATAAAATACCAATAATTTTTCACCTTAATTTCACCAAATATAACGCACTCTAATTAAAGAAAACATTTACAAATATCACAGGACAAAACACATTAAATTATACATAAATATTATCTACATATGTGCAGCCTGTTCATCATGTTAGTGTTATACCTTCGTTTTGGAAAGTTCTTTGCTGTCATATTAAAAGGGTTGTGTTCATATTCCTGTGACTAAACAAAAGAGGAACACTGTGATTAGTGACCATTGCAAACACTTAGATCCATTTTGAATTGATATCATTTGACGCCTACATGCAAAAATCTTTCTTTCTTAGTTTACAACTTACCGATTTCCCCTTTTTACTCTCTTTGTGATCCTCCAAGCTACTATCCATATCCCTGAAAGCAAGCCTAACACAACTAAAAAGTCAGTAACACAAAAGAAATTGAATAGACCCAGGGACATATACACAAAGCTGTGGTTACGTAGAGTAGATATAGAAAAATGTTACTAAAATGTCCACTGTTTAGTCTTTACAAACCAGTAGGTGACCATTATTCATTTAAAAAAATATATAAAGTTAGGAAGCCTTCTGCAAAACCATATGCTTATTCAAATTATTAAAATGTATTTAAAAACTAAATGTCTAAGATGATGATAATGTCAGTATAATGCATCAGTCAATTCCAGCAGTGCCCATCCCCCCCCCCCCCCCCCCCCCCGGCAACCGC